CCCGGGCATCCCTCCCGGTGGAGGCGGAGCGCCTTCAGGTAGGACAGGAACCGCGGGGGCTGAGCGTCTCTGGCAGCAGCACGGCCTCACCTCTGCACCCCTGCTGTCCTCACCCAGGTGCTGTGTGAGCTCATCAACGGGCTGTACCCCGAGGGGCAGGCCCCCGTGAAGAAGATCCAGGCCTCCACCATGGCCTTCAAGCAGATGGAGCAGATCTCTCAGTTCTTACAGGCGGCCGAACGCTATGGCATCAACACCACCGACATCTTCCAGACCGTGGACCTCTGGGAAGGTGGGCCGGGGCCGGGGGCGCCGTCACCCTGGAGGCCAGAGGCTGGGCTAGGCAGTCTTGAAGGGAGAAGGGGGCGGGTTTCTGGCACCTCGCGGACGGGTGTGTGTGTGTGTGTGTGTGTGTGCATGCATGTGCGTGTGTTTCATGGAGGAGTGGGCCGTGTTGGGGGTTGGGGTGGTGGAGGGTGTGGGGATGAAGAGGAGAAGAATTGGGAAGCCAGGCTTGCTGACCACGTGGGTGGAGGTGGAACCCCGGCACGCAGGGCCCCGGCACGGCCGAGGCCAACACACCGCCTTCCCTTTCCCAGGAAAGAACATGGCATGTGTGCAGCGGACGCTGATGAACCTGGGTGGGCTGGCGGTAGCCCGGGACGATGGGCTTTTCTCTGGAGATCCCAACTGGTTTCCTAAGTGAGTATCGCGGGGCGTCCCGGGCCTGTCCCTGTCCCTAGAAAATGGTCCCGCTCAAAGCACGTTTACATCCCTCACCATCCCGAGTCCTCGCTGCTCTCCTGGGACGGCAAGGGACTGTCCCTTCTGAGACACGGGGAGGGAGGTGGCTCCGGGGGGAGCGAAGCTGGCGGCAGCACCCGAGCCCCCAGGGAAGACACTCGCCGGGGCCGCCTCCAGCCCCTTTCTCACCAGCACTCTCTCTCGGCCCAGGAAATCCAAGGAGAACCCTCGCAACTTCTCGGACAACCAGCTACAAGAGGGCAAGAACGTGATCGGGCTACAGATGGGTACCAACCGCGGGGCGTCCCAGGCAGGCATGACTGGCTACGGGATGCCCCGCCAGATCCTCTGATCCCACCGCGCCCTGCCCCGCCCTCCCACGGATGGTTAATATATATGTATATTTCAGCAGTGACATTCCCCGAGAGCCCCTGGGGCTCGCAGACTCCCCTCTGCCAGGGCGGGGGCCTGGCCTGCCTCCTCTGGGGGGCACCCGACAGCGGGCTCTCCCCCTGGGCTTACTAATACATTCCCTTCCTCAAACCCACCCAAACTGGACCAACCACAACTGGCCTCTTTTCTCCTGGGACCAAAATTTGGGGGCCTCACCACCCCCCAGCCGCATACCTCTTCACTTGCCCTTTGGCTTCTCTCCCCACGACCCCTGAGCTCCGTGCCCTCAATCCATTCCTTGGCCGGGGGTCAGGGACGCCGCCTTCCGGCCTTCCTTCCGCAAGCATGCCTCGCCCCCAGCTGTGGCTGCAGGGACCTAATTTATAGGGAGAGGCCTGTGGCGGCCGCCTCCCCAGCCACAGCCGGGCTGCGCTCACCACACGTCAAGGCAGCCGGCCCCTGGCAGGGGTCCTCTTGGCTTCCCATTTTCCATTCCCCTTGCTGTGGCTGGGGCTTGAAAAACCTGAGTTTGCTGATTTGAATAAATATCTCTGCCTTTTTTTGGATGGACTCTGGTTGTGTCTAGGGCCGTGAGCCCTCCACTGGGAAGGGAGGAAACGTGGGGGGCATCGTGGTGATTGGTACAGGGGAGAGGGATTTCGGATGAAAGGCTGCGATCCTCACCCCCATCTGTGATTTTCTTCCCTGTTCTCTGGCTCCCGTGGTTTAGGTGAGGGTAGGTTGGGGTTGAGGACGGGGCCTCGCAGCTGCCCTTGGAGGGTATGCGGGAGGTGCCCACAGCTAGCCGAGGGACTGGACATCCCACCTGGTGCTCCTGGTCGGCCCCCTCCCCCAGCCAGAGGAGGGTGGGGCTGGGCGGGAGGACCCTCAGGCAGGCTTGGGACAAGGTGGCCCCTGTCCAGTTGGCCAGATCAGCTTGGGGGCTAGGGGCCAAGGGTGCAGTGGTGGGGAGGAATTGACAGGCTCTGAGTGAGCAGGAAGTAGTCAGTGGTGGTGGCTGGAGGGAGGAAGCCTTGTTGATTGACCCCACGTGTTTGGGAGAGCAGGCGGGAGCGCTTCCCTTCTGGGTGGGTGGCCTCGTACCAAGATAACCAATCTTGGGGTCAGGCTGTTCTGAGCTGGCCCTGACCGAGGCATGGGCGTTCCGCCCTGTGGTTTCCAGCTCCCAGGTGTCGCCTTTACCCCACGGCCTCCCTGTCACACCCTGGGTCTTCCTCGGAGAACTGGACAGACCCCGGGCCAGCCCCCCACAGTGGGTTCCTCCCTCCCCGCTTTCTCCTTCAGGGCAGCTGTTTCCTGAGGGGGGCAGAGCCACAGCATTGTGCCCAAGGGTGACTTTCATTCTCCTCTCACTGCCCTGTCGTGGCGACTTCTGCCAAGGAGTACCTCCTATGTGCTAGGCTCTGTGCCTGGGGACATTAGCCCCTGATCCTGACGCCATGCTGCAGGGGGAGATGGTATTTGCTTGGGGGCCGTGGTCCCTCAGGCTGAGACACAGATAAGATAGGCTGCAGCTTATATGCAAATTCCCAGGGGATTAGCTGTCATCCTGCCCCTTTGGTTCTGGAGATTCTGTGGGATGCTGGAGCCAGAGAGGGATGTCATTGCAGAGACAACACTGAATTCACTAACAGTTCTACGTAAAAAAACAAGCCCTCCCTGATTTAACTATTTACAGCTACGGCTTATTGGCCACACGCCTCACAACTTTCTGAGACACTCGGCCTGTCTCAGAGCCAAGACTGAGAGTCCCTGCCTTCTCGGGGCAGATTCCCACAGCGGTCCTCGAGGTGGCTATTCCTGCGTCGCTTCCCCCCGTTTGGTCCCCAGATGAGCGTGCTGGGTCTCAGGGCGACCCAGGGCCACGCAAGGAGTCAATGGAGGGACGTGGGTTTGAGCCCAGGTCAGCCCGGCCGCGGGCCTGTGTGGTTCTGCTCAGCAAGGAGCGGGGCTGGAGAAGAACAGATGGCCCAAAGGGGTGTGGAGGTGGGGGTGGCCCTCACCCGAGGACTCAAGACACCGGCTCCTTCCTCGTGTTGCTGCGAGGGTGTTGCTGGCCCCGTGCAGAAAGCAGGGCAACGTCCCTGGCACAGCGAGCACCCAGGAAACGGAAGTGAGGGGTCAGTGGGGTTTGTGGGGCCCCTGCGCTGGGGTTGGTGTCGCCCGACCGTCCTGCTGCCCTGATCTTGCTCGGCGATGCTTCGGGGAGCTCTACCCCCCCTCCCCGCCCCGGGAATAACCCCTTCTTCAAGGCAAACATGGGCGGGTTTGGAGAAAGGCTTGGCCACAGGGTGCGCCTGGCTTCTGCCCGTGACCGCCACCCGCCCACAAGCTCTGTGGGAAACCCCCGTCTCCCCTCAACGAAGCTGCACCTCCCTCCTTCTGGAAATGGCCTGCGCGGACACCTCCAAACTCGCTTTGTTTTCGGTTTACCTTTTCGTGGCCACGGGAGGCCGCGGTTTTGTGCCTAATATGGCCTCCTTCGTCTCTCCTGCCCATCCCTCCACTTCGGGGTCCCAGCCCTGGGGTTGAGGGCAAGAGCTCCTCTGAATGGCACCTCATTCTCCAAGGTTGTCCACACGGGTGTCTCCCAGTGCCCTGCGCCCAGGGACTGTCCCCCTCCCGTCCTCACCACGGCTCCCTCCTTCTTCCAGGTCTTTGTTCAAATGTCCCCTTCCACGTAAGGCCTTCCCCAGCCACGTCCTTAAAATTGCACATCCCACCCTCCGCCTGCACCCTGTCCTCCTTCCCTGCTTTCTCCTATCAGCACCCGACACACAGTGTATTTGACTTATTTATTTTCTCTCTCCACCCACAGAATGTACACCGCGAAAAGGCAGGTTTGTGTTGGTTTTGTGGATGCGACGAGGTGCCTGGCATGTTGTAGCTGCTGGATAAATATTTGTCGAGCCAATGAATGAATATCACCCTACGCTCACGTTCCTGAATCGCCTGCCCCAGTGACATGGTGCCCAGCCAGACCACGGTCGCAAGTCAGCCAGCCTGTCATTGGGTCTGAGATGGACCCGGCTCATCTGTCTTGTCGGCTTCCAATGCTCCCTCATGGTTCATTTCTAACAGGTGCAAACCTGTGAATCCAGTGTTGGGGGTGGGGGAGGCCAGGGGTGGGTTGGGAAGGGGATGTGTTCTGGGCAAATGGAGGTCACACTGAGGATTTGGGGGGAGAAATGGGAGGGAGGGGCGGGAGGAGGGAGGAGCCAACTTCAGTTCATTTTCTCCTTGCCTTGAAAAATCACCTCGGAGGTGGAGAGAAAGCAGGTTAGGCCCATTGTGACCAATGGAAAGGCCTGGAGAAGAAAGATGGGGGGTGGGGGGGGGGAGGAGGAGGAAGATGGCTCCCCCTGCCTGGCCTAGCTTGGCTCATCCTTGGGGTAAAAGCATGGCGAGGTCTGTGTGGCCTCCTCTTGCGCCTGTGAGCGTGTGTTTAGGTGTGTGAGAATTCACGGGGCGGGGGCTCCGGGGAGCAGGTGGGAGCATAGGAATCTGACCGCGTGTGGAGGCCGTCTGTGAGGCTGTGTCTGCCAAGGACTGGGGGTTCCGGGTGCAGAGAGGTGTGTGTCCGTGTGCGTAGGCAGAATGTAAGCATCCGTGAGTTTGCACATGGCTCCGTGGAGAGCAGTATGCCCCATTCCAGCCGGGGCGGGCGGGGTGGTGGGGGGAGGCCTTTGAGAGCTTGGCAAAAGGCCCAAAGAGCCGCAGAACAGGGGAGAAGCCTGGACAACGGGGCCCCAGGGAGGGAACTGTAAAGGGTCTGGGATTAAATGTGTTGAAGAGAAGCCTGAAGAGTAAGTTAGTAACTGTCTCCTTGCAGAGAAATGAGTTTTCGTCCCAGTGGCTACAGAGGGGGATATTAAAAGAAAACGCACTGAGGTTGCATCTAGAGAAATTTAGGTAAGACGAGGAAAAACGATCCTCTTGACTCCCAAGGTTATTAGCCTCTGGGATCTCCTCAGGGTCAAGAGGAATGTTTTCGATAATAGGACACATTCCATCCTAAGGTGGAAAGTGGGCAATTCTGCCTGGGAACGCATACGCATGCATGCAGTTTTTAAGTTCATGTATTCGTTCGGCAATTATTGGGGTTCTCTGTGTCAGGCCTTACGGGGGATGTCATGATTATTAATACATGATTTCTTTGCTCACAGAGCACATAGTCCTGGAGGGGAGATAAAACGGATATGAGCCCAGCCGGTGATCATTCAGGAAGCCAGCGGTAAGTGCCTTCGGAGAAATGCCAACCTCCCGCAGCCCCGGGTCATTTCTGGAGTGGAGGCTAGTGGTGATGTCGTGGGGGAGCTGAGGCTGTGTATCTCAGGGATCTGCTCCCCTGAGCAGATTCTGGGGGTCGGGTAGGTGCTGTCATACTCGCTTGTGTGATCAGAGGTCAACTTTTAGTGGGGGGTGAGGGGCTGTTCCCTTCCAGCCTGGAGTGGGGGTGGGCAAAGAGGCCCGAGTCGGGTACGAACCAGAGACTGGGTCGGGACAGAGCAAGGTCGCGGGGTAGGGATGGGGGGACAATCACACAACTCCTCGGACGCTGGGGCTGTCTCACCATTTCACCCTGCCACTGGTAGGACCTGAGTTCTGAATTGTGTTTCCATGAGAGAAAAAAGAGTGGGGCTTGGTGTGGGCTGGGCCATCGTGGGGGGGATGCTGACATTCATTGCCACCTTCTGCGGGTCCCAGAGCTACGAGCTTTATCTGTATTTTATATTTGTTCTTTAATTATTTCGGCAAACATTTCTTGAGCACCCACTGAAGACAAGGTATGCACCGGGTGCTGGGGGTGCTGGGGGACGTAGCCTCGGCAAGACAGGTGGAATCTCTGGCCTCCTCGGAGGAGCTAGAAAAGCAAAAGCAAAGAGCCAGGTATAATGAGATTCGGGGTGTGGTGAGGGGAGCATAGGTGCCATGAGATCCCACAGGAGGGGACCACTCAGCCTTGTGGGGAGGACATCAGTGAGGATCTCTGGAAGATGCTGATGTCTGCACTGGGGCATCTAAGGACGGGAAGAAACCTGAAGGGGTGGCCCACGGTAGTGAGGAGAATGTTCCGGGCGGGGGTCCAGCGTGGGCACGGCCTGGAGGTGAGAACAGGCGGAACCCGACCGCGGAACTTGGGCTTGGAGGCTGAGTGCAGTTGAGAAAGGAAGTCGGGACCAGCCCTTCAGAGGAGCTTCAAAGTCAACTGAAAGATTTTAGACCCTTCCTCGAGCGCTTGGGGCACCCCTGAAGAATTTTAAGCAGGGGGCGGAAGGGAAGAGAGTTGTGTCTTCTTTAGAAAGCTTCCTCGAGCTGTCGGGTAGAGATGGGCCTGGGCTTGGGAAGACTCCGGAGGCAGGTCGACCTTAGAAGGCTACTGCACCGGTCTAGGCTGGACTGAGAGTGGCTTTGTTGGGGGCGGGGGGGCGGTCAGCGCCTTCTGGTTGACTGTGGCGAGTGAGGAAGAGGGCTTCAGCAACCAGGTAAGGGCGGTGTTGTCTCTGGGATGGGAAATCCAGGAGCAGCGTATCTGCTTTGGACGCCACCGCACAGATTCTGCTTCTGCCCCATTTTGCAGGTGAGGAGACCGAGGCCAAGAGCAACGGGAGCTTCAGAACCCAGCTGGCGGCCGAACCGGGATTGGGGTTGATGGCAAAAGCCGTCCACACTCACTGCCCGCCCCTGGCAGGGGTCCCCTCTGAGCTCGCTGACCCCGGGAAGGGTTCAACCGGCGGCCAGCAGGAGCTGCGGTTTTTCTGTGGGTGGAGGCCGGGGCCACAGTGAGGAAGGGAGACGTCAGGGCCTGAGGAGCCGTGCAGGAAGTTCAGCTCACAGCAAACGCCCCTCCAAGGCCAGCGAAGATCTGGCAGCTTCAGAAAAGGACTAATGGAGGGACCCCGAGGCCCAGCACCTGGATCCCGTGACTCGGGGTTCCCGTCCCCAACGCTCTCTGACTTTCTGGAGCTTCCTGACGGCCCAGCGTTCACCTCCAGCAACAAAAGCTACCACGACCCCCACGATGTACGGAGAGGTGCACTTTCAAGGGACCCCCATAGCTACTAGATCCGGACAGACTTGTCCCCTCTTGGTGGGGCTTTAGGATTTTTTTCAAATGTTTTTTTAAGTTTATTGATTTGTTATTGAGAGAGAGAGAGAGAGAGAGAGAGAGAGAAAGAGAGAGAGCGTGCGAGAGCACAAGCTGGGAAGGGGCAGAGAGAGACGGAGACACAGACTCTGAAGCAGGCTCCAGGCTCCGAGCTGTCAGCACAGAGCCCGACGTGGGGCTCGAACTCACAAACTCATGTGGGCTCGAACCCACAAACTGGGAGATCATGACCCGAGCCGAAGTCAGACACTTAACCAATGGAACCACCCAGCCGCCGCCGGGGCTTTAGTATTTTTATACCCTTTGGAAAAAAGAGAAAAACAAACCCAGACACCAGGAGCGACATGCTCAAGGTCCCCGGGTGCTTGCACACTTTCTGCATCTTCGAATGCCTCATGGTTCTTGGCCCCGTACGACCCGGCCCAGAGGGTGGCTCAGGGGAAGTTCATGGTTTTGAATTGCTTCTGCATGTCCTAGAACCCAGATCTCTGGACTCCTGGTCGCTCAGTGGACACTGAAAATACCCAAAGTGCGTACCATCCCTGGGGCTGGGGCTGACTCAAGCAGACACAGAGGGCTGGGCGACACTGCTCTCCGTCCTGTGCCTCCCGCAGGCCTGCCACAAGGCATCCCAGCTTGCTCAGACCTCTTCTGCTCTCTCAGTGACATCTGTCCTCAGACGGCCAAGATTGGAGTCACCCAGGGTGCCGGCTCGAAATGCAGAGCCCAGTTTGTCCTTTTAGAACTGCTAGACTGGGAATATTTGGTGGAGTTGATGCGGGTGCTGTCTTGAATTTGCATCGTCTTTTTCTTTTTTAAGGTTATTTATTTATTTTGAGAGAGAGAGAGGGAGGGGCAGAGAGAGAGAGGGAGAGAGAGAGAGAGAGAGAGAACCTCAAGCAAGCTCCATGCTCTGTACAGGGCCGGACGCGGGGCTTGGGCCCAAGGACCGTGAGGTCACGACCCGAACTGAGGTCAAGAGTCGGAGGCTGAACTGACTGAGCCACCCAGGCGCCTCTTGAATTTGCTTTTTACACTGGCTCCCCCCATCATTCTTAGGCAGCCCTGTCGTAGGGGATGCAGAGAGAAGTTTCTCCAACCAGAAGACGGAGGTCTGGGAGGGCCCTGGCTCGAGGCCTTGGATGGGAGTTGGCCCTACCCCCCACCCTGCACTGTTTGGCGACTGTGGCTGAGTTGCCAGGGGAAACAGGCTGTGTAACTTCCTGACTTTGGCGGCTTTCCCTCCTTGGCCTTATCTCAACATCCGCCACCCAGTCCAGGGTCTGTGCTGGTCACGTAGGAGAGGAAGCCGGTGCCAGGCGTGTGGAGGCGTACTCAGGGCACCGGGGAAACGCTGGCCCCAGGTCCTGGGGCAGGGAGGAGCGTGGGGATGTGGTTCTGAAGAGGGGTGGAGGCTGCAGATTGCTTAACGTCCTTCTCCTTGGCCCGGGGGCTGTCCGCCCAGGGGGACCCTGGCCGGGTAGAGGCTGCGATGCGTGGCCAGAAGTCTCTGTCAGTCCCCTGGAGGTTCAGCGCCCCACTCCCCACCATCCCCCCCAGCCCCGAAGGTGGTATTGCCTCCTGGCCGGTGACCTCTCCCCTCCTTCCCTCCTTCTTCCCTCTGGACCCAGGGCCTCCAGCCCCCCCACCCCCACCCCGGGCCCCCCCACACTCTCCTAACCTTCCCTCTCCCCTCTGCTCTTTTCCTGGTGCTCAGCATCTTTCCCCGGGGTCCTCAAACCCTCTCCCCACTCCCGGCCCCACGCCTGGGCTCTCTGGCTGCATCAGGGAGGCCCCACAGTATTTAAGGATGGGAGAGCGAGTTTTGAAGAAAGAGGGGAGGCAGCAAATACTTTGAGTGAAACAACTCATGCCTTCAAGGGTTTATTTATGTGTTCGGCTCTACTCTACTTTGGGAAGAATTGACGGCCGGTTCGAGAGTTCAAGGGCTCCAGGAAGAAGGGGGCAGTGAGATAGGCTTTCAGGCACCCTTGCAACTTAGAGGATTTACAGTCGGATGCCTGACCGTATTTATACTACAGAGGATGAAGATATCCGCCCTCCCCCCCTTCCTGCTTAGCCCCCTGCTCTGGGGGAAGGAGAAGAAGGGACGAAAAACCACCAGGCCCCGTGCAAATGGATTTCTGAGCCCTCTTTGGGGCTATTTCCGAACGTCACACAAGAGGAAACAAAGGCCCAGGTGGTTAGGCAGGTGGCCCAAGGTCTCTCGGCTGCCAGTGGCCGGGCCAGGGTCCTAACCCTGCTGGTCTGGCTCCAAAATGAGTCCCGCTTTCCTTCTTCGCTGTGCCGCCCAGGGAGCACAGATCACAGGAGAGCTTCTTCGGAGCTGCCCCTTGGAGGGACTTTTCTTGGCTGTGAGGCAGCCTGGAAGAAATTGTGCTAAACTGAGAACTGAGTGAGCATCGCAGAATTCCCTCCTCAGACAGATGGTCACTGCTCCAACGGAGAGCAGAAGTTGGGTTTGAAGAGGGGTGGAGGCTGCAGAAGCTGGGGCGGCGGGGCAGGTCCAGAGGAAGGAGGTGGGGCCCCCATTTTGAAGAAGTCCCGAGACGTACGCATCAAAGGAGTTCAGAGACAACATTAGCGAACGAAGAACTATGTTCTCCCACAGGAGGCGTGGGAGTCTCTTGGCCGTTCTCTGTATGTGGCCCAGTTGCCCCCAAGCCACTCTGAGAGGCCTCACTGATCCCTGGGCTACAGGGATCCTCCGAGATGCATTTCAAGGACACAGAGACACAGAGAGAGAAAGAGGAAGAGAGACAGAAGCAGGGAACCGCTGTCCCTTCTCCTGGCTCCCGGACGGGAGACCAGCTCAAGCGACAGGCCAGACTTTTCTTTTTTTTTTTTTTTTTTTTTTTTTTTTTTTTTTAATTTTTTTTTTCAACGTTTTTATTTATTTTTGGGACAGAGAGAGACAGAGCATGAACGGGGGAGGGGCAGAGAGAGAGGGAGACACAGAATCGGAAACAGGCTCCAGGCTCCGAGCCATCAGCCCAGAGCCCGACGCGGGGCTCGAACTCACGGACCGCGAGATCGTGACCTGGCTGAAGTCGGACGCTTAACCGACTGCGCCACCCAGGCGCCCCCAGACTTTTCATTTTAACTGTGACTTGATGACTCTTTTGATGGCTCTTATCTCCCAGGCTCCTCCCATTGACATGTGCTTATCCAGCAGAGTCAAAATTCTGATCCCTGTGGCCTCAGCCCGGGTGGGAGTACCTCTGGAGGCTGGCAGGGTGGGGTCAGGTGAAGCCCCAGGACGGTTTCAAGGCCCAGAGGGGTGAGAAGGAGCTGCCAGGGACCCAGTGCGGCCCGGGTCTGGGACCACACGCAGGGTTTACTCTGAGGCTCCTTTGGGAGTGGTGACTGGCTAGGAAGGGTCAGGGAGCCTGGGAGTGGGGCCCGGGGGTGGGGACCTGCCCTCTTCCTCAGGCTCTTAGCCCTTTTAAGCCTTGATTGCTCTGGCCCGGGGGTGGCCTGGAGTCAGTCGGGCCGCAAAGGGGCGGAGTAGAGGACGGGAGCGAAGGGGAGCATGGGGATGGGACCCAAAGGAGGCGGGTGACCCAGACGCATAAAAGGGAGTACGGCCAGGGCCAGGACAGGGCGGGGCGCAGGGGAGAAGGTGGGAGAGGAAGGCAGGGAGGAGTGGGCAGAGCTGGCTGAGGCTGGGAGGGGAGAGCAAGGGCACCCCACCCCGACCCCACCGGATATGGCTGCACTTTGCAGCCAAGTTTTGCTGAGAAGGGGAAGGTCGCCTCCCTACTTATCATCGGGGTGGAACCGGCTTTGTGAGGCCCCAGGCTTGTAGAGTTTTGGAAGCCCCATTGAAGAGAGACAAGGCAAAATTATTAAGACAAAATCAATTACGGGAGTAAACATTTATTTAGACTAACAAATCATGACAGGTTAGAAGTGTTTTCAAATCTGGCAAATACTATAAACATTGTAACATCTGAAAGAGTCACGTAAAATCTGCGTGAATTCCCTGAATTCAGCTCTAAAATAGCTGTCGCCCTTACCTTTTCTGCCTTCTTAAAAAAAATCTTTTTTTAATGTTTATTTATTTTTGAGAGAGAGGGAGAGAGACAGAGGGTGAGCCAGGGAGGGGCAGAGAGAAAGAGGGAGACACAGAATCCGAAGCAGGCTCCAGCTCTGAGCCATCAGCACAGAGCCTGATGCAGGGCTCGAACCCATGAACCGTGAGATCATGACCCGTGACGAAGTTGGACGCGTAACCAACTGAGCCACCCAGGTGTCCCTGTTTTTGTTTTTTTTTTTAATTTTTTTAAACATTTATTTTTGAGAGACAGAGAGAGACAGAGCATGAGTGGGGGAGGAGCAGAGAGAGAGAGGGAGACACAGAATCGGAAGCAGGCTCCAGGCTCTGAACTGTCAGCACAGAGCCCGATGCGGGGCTCCAACCCATGAACTGTGAGATCATGACCTGAACGGAAGTCAGATGCCTAACAGACTCAGCCACCCAGGGGCGCCATCTGGCTATTTATTCTTTGTCTCTCCAAATGACAGTGATTTTATAATATTATTTTACACAGACAGAATACAGTGATAATTCGTTCTTTCCTCTGATAGGGGTTGATCGACACTTTTATTATTATTAATAGATTAGGATGTTTCTTTCATGTCACAGTTTGCTGTGGGCAAAATAGCAATTTTTATAATTGTCGAATTTGGGAAAATCTGAGCTAAATTTCTTATAGGAGTTGCAGAATTTCAGGACATTGTTCAGTAATTAGTCGTAAATGTTCTTTGAATTGATGGCACTCATTAACCAACTCGTCATAGGTCCTAGTTTTTGTGTACTAAGAGGAGTTTACGCAAGCTCTATCAATGGCGATATTTTATGTCAAACCAGTAAGAAATGTAAGATATCCCCAATGTGTTCCTATGATTTTCTTCTTGTTAGTTGGATTATTAAACAATCCAAGTGCCTGTTTATTCAAACTCTGTCTATTTCTCTTATTGAATTGCCTTTTTTGATAGAACTTTTGCTCCAATTTACTTCTCAATTTCAAAATAATTTGTGCTGATTTCATGGCTCATTTTTACCACTTTTGTTTCATAAACCTATGAAGTACTTTTGTTGACATATGATTGACACATAACATCGCATCAGTTCCAGGTGGGCAATATAATGATGCAGTATTTGTATATATTGCGAACCGATCACGGCTGTACATCTAGTTAGCATCCGTTAGCTTTCTCATCACGAGAGATTTTAAGATCGCCTCTCTTAGCATCTTCCAAATAGACAATAGAGTATTATTAACTATAGCCATCATGTTATAATTACACCCCATGACTTATTTGTCTTATAATTGGGAACTAGTGCCTTTTGACCATCTTCGCTCAATTCCCCCAGCCCTGACTCCCCACGTCTAGCCACACAGATCCCCGCACATCTGTTCTCTGTACCTCTGAGTTGGGTTTTGTTTCTTTGTTGTTGTTTTCGATTCTACACAGAAGTGAGTGTTGTTCTGCAACCCTCTCAGGAGCTTCCTGGATGGAATCTCAAACGGGCCCTGTATGTGGAGGACAGAGAGAGACCAAAGAAAGAAATGGGCACTGCAGGTTGGAAGGTGGCAGGTTGAAGAGTGAGGGAACTTACGTACGAGGATGGGAGCCAGACTAGTAGATCCCGCCCCGCTTCCCCCAAATCGTAATAGTTTATATAGAAGGCTTAACGGGGTTCGGTCACATATACTGGCCAGATCACTCTCAGGGCCGCATCATTATCTCAAG